CCCAAGGTTGCATAGCTGGCATTTAGTAGACTAGGATTCTTGCCACCTATGTGGTAAAGTAGCACCATTATCCTAGAGAATGTGGCACCTTTCCTTGCATAGTCACTAGGTCTCAGGATAACATGTGGCTTCCCTCAAGGGGGCTTTCCTGAGATTTTAGGTGACAGTGACACAGCAACTCTTTGCCTGGCTCTTAGAACTCCATTGTTATTCTGAAACTAGTTTTTATGACTTGAGTTCTGATTCATTCAGTAAAAAATTTTTATTAGGAACTACAACAGATATACAAAAATATGCATTTAATTCTTTTCATGCCATCCTTCAACAACAGATACAGTGGACCTAATCTGTGCATTTTTTATTGAGCTTCTCTGCCCAAGCATGAGGTTTTCTTTTGCTGGTCTCTTGGCTGGCAAACTCTGAACCACTTTTTGGAGGTGAGGGAACTGCTTTCAGGAGAGGGTGTGGATTCCTAGTCCATGGAAACAGGGCCTGTGTACAGTCAGGAGGCTGCTAATGACTAAGAGGGGCACATGTGTTCTCTGTAAATGGACCACGATTGGTGTTCTGGAGTTTGGGTCCAGTAGAGGCAAATAGGGCATAGAGGATTATACTTCTGTCCCTGTCAATAGTTAGGACTGAGGTCCTGTGACATTCTGAACTGCAAGGAGGGTATGACTCAGCCAGGCCTGAACAGACATGTAACAGACATATAGAGATAAAGGGCAGGATGTTTCTGACAGTTTCCTTTCTGTAAAACTTGAGTTAAACAAGGAAGTGCTCATAAACATTAGAAGAAATGTAAATGGTTGGCAAGGAAAAATCTGCTCATTGTCCTCTAGTCTATAGATTTAGAGAAATAAAGAAAAATAATTTAACTCAAAATTTTAATTTATCATGGGACGGACATTCTCATCTAATATCTTAATCTTTTATTTTATCCTTTTTTTTTTTTTTTTTGAGACCGGCCACACTGCGCTCAGCCAGTGAGCGCTGTGAGCGCACCGGGCATCCCTATATGGGATCCGAACCTGCAGCGGGAGCATTAATCTTTTATTTTATCCTTTTTTTTTTTTTTTGAGACCGGCCACACTGCGCTCAGCCAGTGAGCGCTGTGAGCGCACCGGTCATCCCTATATGGGATCCGAACCTGCAGCGGGAGCATTAATCTTTTATTTTAGAGACTAGAGCATATCTATATGTAAGGACATATGCAGAATCATACACAAATGAGCTTATTTTGAGTTTCCACTTATTGTGAGTTGATGAATTCCATTCTGAGGGTAAATCCAGCCCTATGATTACTTAGTAAATATGCACACCTAGCCAGGAGAGAGATCTTTCCAGGCCAGGGACGGATTTCTAAGGACCAATGGTGATGGTAAGGGACTTGGGGCTGAAGAAGACACCTGCAAAACTAAGCACAAGGAGACATGAAGCCAGAGCAATTTGAGAACTTTGCACCTGGAGGCAAAAGAGGATTCACAGGGGCCAGAAGATCCCCAGAGAAGTCCAGGAGGCAGATCAGAGTCTGGAAGAAATCGATGATCCACAACATACCTGGCTGTAGGACCATCCTGAACCCACATCACTTCAGACTAAATATCTTGGTCTTGCTTCCTGTTTTACCCATCTCATACCATATGTAACTGCACCCGCCATGCTCCAGCTGCACTGGCTTCTCTCTCTCTCTCTCTTTTTTTTTTTTTTTTTGTGACTGGTAAGGGGAATGGAACCCTTGGCTTGGTGTCAACCGCACCGCGCTCAGCCAGTGAGCGCACCGGCCATCCCTATATAGGATCCGAACCTGCGGCCTCGGCGCTCCCAGCGCCGCACTCTGTCAAGTGAGCCATGGGTTCAGCCCATGCACTGGCTTCTTTCTGTGCCTGCACCTTGCCAAGCCCATTTCCACCTCAGGGCCTTTGCACGAGCTGCTCTGTCCATCTAGAATGCCTCCTCTCCCCTATCCCATATTTATGTAAGTTGGTATCTTCACCACAGTCCCGTCTCAGGCAAATGTCACTTCTTTGTCCATCCTGTCTGAAGCCACCCTTAGCCAATCACCCTCTGTTACTTTACCTTTTTTTACACTCAGTTCAGCACTCATCACTCTCTGAAATCATCTTTTTTTTAAATTGACTTATTTAGAGCCTGAGTCCTTCTACTGGAATTTAAGCACTATGAGAGCAGAAGCTTTTTCTGTTTAATTGGTCATCGATCCCAATTGCTTAGAATAGGACTAGGCTCAGAGTTTGTTCAGTGAATGAATGGGCAAATGAATGAATGAAATCAAACACAAGTGAAGAAAAGGAGCTAGCCAGGTCTTATACGTCAGCCAGAATAATCTGTAATCTGTAACTTTGGTTACTAACCTAAAAATAATGAGTCTGTGCTCTATAGAGGTATACATTTCTAAGCTTTTGTATTGTGTTTTAAGTGCCTGACATGGGTTTAATAAATATTTGTCATAATATAAATTAATGAAAGATCATTTTTACACATTCCACTCTTATTTCATCTGAACTTAATTGGTCTCTTGTACTCTAAGTAATCCAGGCAGCTCTGAGGGCAAGCCAGTCTTTAGGGTGACAGGTCATACCAAGTTGAGTTAAAAGACATTGAATTTATTGTTAAGTCATTTTTTAAAGTGATCCTTGAGTTGGTGTAGAACTAAAATAAAAATTAGCATGTGTATTAAGTTTAAATCATTATTATTTTTGACTTAATACATTTATAATAGCCAAAAAGCAAGTTTTTTTATTCTCATGGGCAATTTTACGGGTGAGCTGTGGTCTGGTATCTAGGCTTTGATGTAGTGAATGGAATCTGTAGTTAGGCCAGGATTGAAATAGGGCCTTCCTCATTCTTAGCTGAGACCAAAGGCTAATAGCTGGAGTTTGGGGCAGCTATGGCACACTGGACAATGGCCTAACCCCTCTGGGCTTCAGTCTCTTTGCTTGAAAATGAGGAGGTTGAAATGGATAACCCTATTGCTCTATTTCTGTCTTTATGTCTTAAATCCAGGCTTTTATAGTCAATCCATTTATACATTATGGCTATCAGAAGCTATTTGTTAACATACGTTATCATTTGAAAAAGACTTGCAACCTGGATAAAGTTTAGGCCGTTCCCTTTTTTCACCATTTCCCAAATCACACCCACATTACTAGCTTTTTAGCAGCCTCTATTGTCTCTATCACATTTATCCAGGATTTTTCATCCCTTGGTTGGTATGTATGTATCCTTAGAAGAGACTATTTATCTGCAGGTGATACCTGGGAGTCCGGAACTCCTGCAAATGCCTTTGAGGCCCCCTAGATACCATTTTATAAAAATGTGTCTACCCTGGTGGTTTAGGAAGTACTCTGAGAGCTTGTCAACCAGGGGATACATAGAAATTATGATTTGAGGACAGCAAGCTATGTTTTGATTTTTCTGCCTGCTAAGGCAATAATTACCCTCAGAGAAAAGAAGACTTCAGCTCAAAATCCCATGGCAAACAGGCATTTTCAAAAAAATAAGCTATATACTTGGCTGAATATTTCTTCTAAATGTTAAAGAATTAAACCAAATTATTCTCAATTATACATATTAAAAATTTTTACTGCATAGACATAGAGCACCTTAATGTGTTATATATTGTCTAATTAATGCATTACCCTCCCTTTTGTATTCAATGTTTCTAGTACATTATTCACATTTTATAAGTCTTTGTGTAAATTCTCACCATTTTACATTACAAAGCTTTATAATTTATATGCTTGCTTCTTTGGAATGTAGATATTCATAAGTAAGAGACAGCGGGTATGAAGGCCTTCTTGAGAAAGCAACTGTATCGGGTATGGAGGCCTTGTTGAGGAAGCAACTGTGTATTTTACTTTTCCTTTTTTTCTCATTTATTTTCCTTTTCTCAGTTAAAATAGTTATATAAGAAAATACATAAAAGCTGAAGAAGGATTTTTTTTTTTAATCACTCATAAACCCGCCATCAGAAAATAATTGCTTGTGAACTTCAGGGATCATACTGTTCATACTATTATATAATCTGACTTCTTTATATAAATATGAATAATATGTTTTTATTTAATAAAATGTTTTTCTAAGAAATGATTTTTAATAATCACATGATATTTCATCCTGTAGCTGTGCCATAACATAACCTGTTATGGGAGGCAGTATAGGTAGGTAAGAAAATAGAGTCTGAAGCAGACATCCTACATTTTACCATCCAAGTTATTTATTCACTCCATTCCTGTCTCTCCACCCATAAAATGGTGATAACAATAGTACCAGCTTTAAATTGGTTAATGTGAAGATTAAATAAGTTATAACACATGGTACTTAAAACACTTAGAGCATTTAGAATAATGTTCTCATAGACTTTATTATTAGAGCATTATTATCCAATTATTATCTATAATTGTTATTCTAATAGAATAATTACCTGCCACATCATAAGTACTCAATAAACATTCATTATTACTGCATTTATTGTTTGCAGCTTTTTGATGTTATAATACTGTAATGACTATTTTTGAAGAAAGAGGCTTTTGTTCTTATTTTTTCCCTGAGATAAGTTTTTTAAAGTGACATTACATCTTTGATACACATTGCTAAGTCATCCTCCATAGAGGTTGTAACATTGTACACTGTCTATAGCACAGTAAGAGAGAAAGCAGCTACTCCGCAGTGAGTCATGTTGTTTCTGGAAGTGCATTATGGTGGGAAATGACAATTGCCCATGTGAGGATTTTTGCAGTTCTCTAAAATCATTAAATATTGAACAATGGAGATTTATCCAACTTACTCTTCCTCTTCAATATTTATTATATAGTCTTCAGGCAAAGTTATGAAAATTAAAAACATGTTTGTTTCAGGTGCGTTTAGTATATTAGTCTGATTTTTGCTTGAAAAGATATTTGTATTGATATGAAAATTTGCACTTGACTACTTTGTTAAGGTGTTTCCCCTCACTGAAATGAATATTTTCTTTTTTCAAGAAAAAAGCAGCAAGTCCTGGGAGCAGTCAACCATCCAGAACCCAGGCGGCTGGAACAGCCTCAGCCACCAAGGTCAGTCATTTCCTCTACAGGTGTGTCATCAGTAGGTGGGGCTCGTAGAGAAGGCAAAGAGTGCCTGTACATCACTGAAAGTTTTTGAACAAAGTATTTCTGTGCTGGAAAGAATGATATAATTTCTTAACAATGATCTGAATGATTTAAAAACTAGTAAAACCATATAAGTCATAATTCTCCTTGGCATATAGTAATAAATAAGCATTCAATAAATACTAATTATTATCATAAATATCTATAGATAATACTGGGCTTTTGTACATACTCCGAGTGGATATATATAGTCCTCCTTGCTTCTTCAGAAAGAAATTCAAATCCCCCTCCTGAGCATTAACCACACTAAGCTCTATGATAAGTGCTCTATGTAATTGTCTCATGTAATCCCCTCACAACGTTACTATTAATTATTATTATTATTATCACTCCTTTATAACTGAGAAAACCAAGGCTCAAAGAGGCTGAGTAACCTTGACAAGCTCATGAAGCCAGTAAAATGAAGGTGGGTTTCGAACCCAGGTTTCCTGATTATATAAGGTCTTGACAGTGCTGGATCTCAGAAGCGCTGACTAAGCATTTTTTATTAATATAACACTTCAAAGCTTTGCAACTTATAAAAATCATTGAAACATTATCTTTCAAGACAAAAAACTATAATCTTAGCTAGTAGTTTTTAATAAATAAAATCATTATGTTCATCCCATTTCAAATGTGTGGCCTTCCAGTATGTTTAGTATTATCTAAAACCTTAACCTATTTCAGGACTGTCTATAAAATTATTTAAAATAAGCAGTTTTCCTTTGAACTGCTGGCTATGGAAGTCTGTGGACTTTCTCAGATATGTCACTTACTTCATAAAGAGTTAATACTTTGGTGTCTTCTGGAGCTTCAGCTGCTCCCCAAGACCTCAAGGTGCCAAAAGACTCTAAAGTTAGGCTGGGCACAGTAACACCATCCCGATGTGTAAGACCCGGGAGTGTGTTTTATAGACCTTTTCAAATCTCTTCTTCTACCAGCCAGTAAAAGGATAAAAATCATTGAAAAGCTATGAATTTTCAACACAGGGAGTGAATTAATGTTTGGGCCAACATAAATTCAAAACTGAGGTCTGCTCTCTTTTAGCCATTTTGTTCCTGTTATTAGGGACTCTACAGTATTGATGCTCACTGGGTGAGAGACTGCTCAGCCAAACAAACCCCAGTGTGAATTTCCTCTTTGCCCCTTATTATTCATGTAGTCCCACTGAGCTTCAGTTTCCTCATCTGAAATGCGGTTAAGACTCCTCCTATCAGAGGTGTTGAGAGGCTTAAATTAAAAATAAAACAAAACAATGATTTAGCCCTGGCATTTAGTAGGTGCAAGAAAAATGTATCTCTTCTGTGTTTACTCTTGTTAGTCTGCATGTTCTGTTGTTTGAAGGTCTCCAACTAAAAAGGATTTTCCAAACGTGTCTTATCTTTTGTAGTTATTAGGAACCACACTTAAATAGTGCCTCTAGGGCCGGCCTGGTGGCGCACTCGGTAGAGTGCGGCACTTGGGAGCGTGGTGGCACTCCCGCCGAGGGTTCGGATCCCATATAGAGACCGGTCTGCTCACTGGTTGAGCGCGGTGTGTGCGGGCGCGACACCAAGGGTTGCGATCCCATTACCGGTCACGAAAAAAGACAAAAAGGAAAAAAATAAATAAATAGTGCCTCTAAAAATGAGAAGCCTCATTAGCAAAATCCCCACACAATGATATTTAGTGAAATCATTTGTAAATGGTTTCCAGAATTGCTATTACCTAAATTTTTGGAGGTTCAGTACTATATGGAAAACCACACTCAGTTTTTTCTTGAAAAGACTTATGACTTGAAAGTCATAAGAATTAGACCCTTTTCTATCTTTTTTTTTTTTTCACTCAGGAAGTTATCATCCAATTTTTCAGTGGTGGGACAGTAATAGAGAATTTGGATCTCTCCCCCCAAAACCCTGTTCTGTCTTAAGCAGCTGGGGGTGGGGGGAGACATAGCTGGGAGGTGAAGACATTTTAGCCACATATTTACTCTTTTAGTACTTAATGGCAAACCTGACAGCCTTTCCTTGGCTTCTAAAATACGGTCCTCTCCACCTCCATTCTTATCTCTCCTGTTGTTCTTTCTCTGTGTGTTTTTCTGACCCACTTTCCTTCACCAAGTTTCCTGAATACTAGTTTTCCTATGGTTTGATTCTTCACTCCTTCCTGTTTCATTTCTTTAGCTCTAATATAGGTTTAGAAGAAAAAATATATATGCTTGCTTATTTCGTCTTCTGATGCCAGATTGGAAGGGCTATAACTCACTGTCATCTCTTTAAAAATTATCATTCACATGCATCATTTAGAAAAGCTGGAGTTAATAGCATTTGTGATAAATTGAAGCCTTGTTGTTACACAATTATCATAACACGCACAGGCAAAGAAATATTCTCTCAATACATTCAGAAAAGGCATGACAAAATAGTAGGTACAATTGACAGTGAGAATTAGTCCTGGTTTTTTTGATTCTGGACACATTTAACTTGAAAGTTAAAATAAATGATAATTTTACAATTATTGAGAAAACCTTAAAGTCTTTCTAAAAAATCAAATATTTAATTTGAAACTATGTATAATCTGTATAATACAGAATGCTTTCCACATATTGCAGGACATTTCATGAGAATTCTTACAAAATGAGTAATTATGCCACAAATAATATTCTTTCTATCATGTAGTTCTGGACTTAGAAGACTTAAAGCTCTTAAGTGGTATAGATATTTCTAACTCAAAGTAATTATTGGAAAATGTTTGGTGCTTAATATTCAATGTTTGGTAAATTTATAATGAGAACAAATAAGGCTGCAGAAATTATATAGACTCTTATTAAAATCAATAGGAAAATAGTTGTGATCCATAATCAGTCATGCGACTTTATTGCTGAAGAGTTCTCAGACAACTTCTGTTTTGACAATCCGATTGTTGAGGTGAGGAAACCAAGGTTCAGATCGCATTAGGAATGTCTCTAGAAGACCATGCTATTAAAAAGATGTATTGGTTAAAATTGTTAGTTCCAATTAGAATCTACTCTGACTAGTTTAAGTGAAAAAGGAATTTCTTAAGGCATAATGGGTGGCTTGTAGGGACATCTAGAAGGGTCCACCAGAAGGAATCTAAAACTTCACAGTCAAGAACAATGTGCAGCCACAATGTGGGAGTTTCTCCTGCTAAACCCTGCTGCCACCACAGCTCAGCACCCGGGACATCAGAAACTCTGCCACTGTCAATCCTGAAGACTCAAAAGCCTATCATAACGTGGATTTCTCAGTGGGTGGGCCCTCCTCCCATCGCTCACCTCCAGTCTTGTTTTCGGATAGTACATCTGATTGGCCATTGAAAGTCATGTGCTCCACCCTTCTACATGGGAATCTGGGGGTATGAGTTTTCCAGATTCTACTTTGGGAAGGTGTGTGCTGATTTGGTGGGAAATTATCAATAGGTGGTGAGGGTTTTCAAATGTGTGGCCAGCTGCCAAGTGACAGATACTCGCTACAGAAAGGAAAACAGGAGAATTACCTAATTGAACAGGAGGAAAAATCATTGATGACAGGTTCTTGAGCAACATCAAACCTTTTGAACAGAAGAATGTGCAAACAACTTTCCTCACAGCCAAGAGAGGAGAAGATCCACAAAGGAACGAACACCCATCAGAGAAATACTTTTGTGATTTGGGTCCTGTTTTGCTGTAAATATCCGTGTTCACTTTGGCAACACAGCTCTCCTCTCAGGCTCTTTCTTTTCTCATTCATGGTATGAGTAAGGGTCCAGATAAATTGTTTGAATATTAAGAAAGGTATTCTGACATTTAGCATCAGCATCACCCCACAGTACCCTTGTACCACATTGGTTTGTGAGATGACTCTATGGGATAGACAGGAAAGCATTTTATTTTAATAATTATGTGTATATTTTAATATGCTAAAAAAAACTAGCACATCAAACTCATAATCCCATGGATATTTTTGCTTAAGACAAGGCTAAACTTGAGGTTAAAAGTAAATCTATTTTTTAAAAAATTAAGTAAATATAATATAGCCATGGCAGATTTAAAAAATATTATGTAGGTAGTGTACAAGTAACCAAAGTTTGGGAAATAAGGTCCAGATCAGTAATTCTCATGTTTTAATGTGCATAATAAATCAGTAGAGATTCATTAAAATGAAGATTCTGATTTAGGAAGTCTGGGGTGAAGCTGAGATTCTGCTTTTCTAACAAGCTCCCGGTTGATGCTGCTGCTGGTGGTCTGGCAACCATACCTTGAGTAGAAAGGAGACTGAACTGTGCTGAATGTGGGTAGTTTAGACTACCAATAACCTGAGTATCAATTGGAGAATCTGGTTAAAATGCAGATTCTCAGGTTAAAAGCCAATAAATTCTGATTCATTATGGTAGATCAAGGCCAAGGATTTTATATATTTCATAAGCACTCACTCCCAGGTGTTTCAGATGCAGATGATCTGAGGATCACACTGGGAGAAAGGATGACACTCTGGAACAGTGATAGCCACAGCACATCAGAGGAGCAATAGTGTTCCCCTTCATCTTTCTGTCTGGCCTACAGCATAAGAATCTTCAGAAAATTTGTTTCATACTAGATAATTACTCATTCTGTACTCTCCAGGTGCACAAAAATACTCACCTTCATTGAGGGAGATATAGCTGCCTAATACTGGGGTCTGTGGGGCCTGCAGCCCATCCCTGCTGGGGTGTGGCCCAAATAAGTCACCTCGTGCTGTTTTTGTCACAGGAGAAATTAATGTCAGTGAAACCTAGACAAGCTGAGGTTTAGCTAAAAAAAAAAAAAAAGTAAAGACAATACTAACAAATAATAGAAAAGGAATTTGTAAGCTATGTTTTCATCAAGAAGAATGATAAGGACAGGGCCTTTTGCTTAGGCAATTATGAAATATTAGAGTTGGGAGGGCTCTTACTTCACCAGCTTTATT